CCAACGCTGAAAACAACGGGATGAAAGCCCGGTACCATTCTTTACCATTGTACGAATGTGAAGTCATCTAACTTCAGGCCCCGAACTGTCAAGCTGCAGACACACAAATCTTGTGCAGAGACGTTTCTCCTTTTTGTCGGACACAATCCAGTAGTCTAAAGTCTATGCATCTGGAACTGGAGCAGCAATGCAGCTAAACAAACTGACCCAAAGGGTTCTAGAGTTCCCCCAACATCCCCACCAAGGAATTCACCCCGCCAGCGGCATAGTATGTTGTTGAGTTGACAGCTCTGAACCTTGAAGATTGCAGCTTCGCAAAAAACCGGGATCATGAATTGTTTGTGTGGCGCATTGAGCAGTACAGGGCTATCATCTGTCTTCCCGATCGGTCCATTTGGGCTTGCGTTTGTTCAGAAAGGCGTCAATGCCTTCTTTAGCATCTGGATTCAAGAGATTTTCCACCATGGTTTGTTCCGCCACAGGATACGCATCTGTCAGAGGCATCCCCTGTTGCTCACGAAGAGTTTGCAGACCGGACCGAATGCACGGAGAAGACTTTTCTGCAATTGTGGATGCGAGACTCTGTACCTCTTGATGCAACATCCTGGATAATTGTTGCTGTCGTTGCAATTTGTCGTTATCGTCGTCCTCAACATGATGATGGCTGTCATCATCGTCTGCGACAATAATAATCCGATTGATCAATCCAATTTCGTAGGCTCGTTGGGCCGATATCAAGTCTCCCGTGAGCAGCATTTCCATGACGTGTTTTCTACTCGCCACAGCACGTACCAATGGAACGGCGGGAGTGGAACAAAAGAGTCCAATGCGGACACCGGGTGTGGCAAATTGGGACGACACCGTGGCCACGGCCAAATCACAGCTGGCCACCAATTGACATCCCGCGGCGGTGGCAATTCCATCGACTTGGGCAATGGTGGGAACCGGAAAGGAATTGATTTCTGTCATGACGCGACTGCACAATTGGAACAAACCTTGTAGACGGTGCTGATAGGCCTCTTTGGATTCGTTGTCGGGTTGGAATGATAATTCCTGGAGATCATGTCCCGAACAAAATACGCCGTTGTACTGGGATTCGTCATCGAATGATTTGATAATGAGGACCTTGGTAGCAGGATCAGATTTAATTTTCAGGAGTTTTTCCAGCATTGTCGACAGTACGGAGGAAGATAATGCATTACGCCGCTTTGGATTGTTGAGAGCGAGGGTAGCAATTCCATCAGGGATATTGGAGGTAGAAGCCGTGGCAGAAGAAGTGGACAAGGGGTATCTGATTTGTCGGAGGCAACGGTGGCGACCCACTGAAGGTATAAGCACAGCCGAGCATCGAGTAGCAGAGAGCATTATCGTTATCCCCAAGAACTATAACGAAGAAGCAAAAAGTCAAAGATGTCTCCCCGGTTCTCCAAGCTCCGTCAGAACGCCCTGACACCTCCAAACTGTTTTTGATGTTTCCAAAAGAGGGCGAAGCAAAATCCGAGCAATGATCAATTTGGGCGCAATAGGCACGCCGGCGAGTCCCATTTGGGATTTCTCGGCATCAGAAATCTAATCATTTTTTGCCAATGGCCAATGGGCGGCAAACCTTGCGTTTTCCCTCCCAGCCCTTGGTTTATGGGTGCAGCAATTAACATGTAGTCCGCAACAAAAAGGCCTGCACAAAAAGCACGCACAGATCCACCACTTTCTGCTGCCATTGCATTTGATGACAAGGGCTCTTGTTGTCCACTGGGGGATAGTCGCACCTTATAGAGGCGCAGGTACCGGTAGCACTAGATAACAGAATCAATCGAAAAGAAATGTATCTCGAGATAACTGACGAGGAGGACGTGGTCGATGCGATCGTCCAGATCAACTCCAAGTGTGATGAAGGAAACGATGGATCATCTTGCTGTGCCGTGAACCACCTCCAGATTCAGCTCGAGTCACCATTACAACATCTCCCTCCAGCATCCCTAAGGCGTTTTTTTCAAGTTGTGCGAACGAAACTACCCGATACTCCCGTCGAACTACACATTGCGTCGTCTTCTTCGTTAGACGCTTCGGTAAACCCTCCTTTGGGATCAAGCAGTAGACCCAATACAACAAGTACAGAAGCTCTGAGCCTTATTCTGAGACTGGTACCCAATCTACATTTGCTGGAACTGTGCGAGGTGACTCTGGATGGAGGCCCTGATTTGGAAGGTTTCAAGCAGTCCATTGTGGCACAGCAAGGTCTTACACACGTATACCTTCGCAATGTCCAGCATGCCAACAACAACATCGACCTAAGACCACTGGCAGAAGCTCTCTCGGAACTCCCTAAGTTAAAAGCCCTCGAGCTTTACCAGGTCCAATTCTTCTCCGATTCGGCGTTCAACGCACAGGCGCTGGCTCTGATTGCTCAATCCTGCCATGCCACGAGATTGGAGATTATGCCATGTGAACGACACAACATTCAAGAACAAGGATTGGCCATTGGGGAAGGGTTGCTGCAAAACACACGGGAAAGGCTACAGGAACTGGCGCTCCTGACCAAGATTTCACCGAAACAGTCTGTCATGTATGAAGATGCCGTGATTGCATCGTTGGCTCGTTTCGTCCTTGCATCTTCCAACCTCCAAAGACTGCAACTGAATGTTTGCGAAACCATCAACTTGGTTCCTCTAGCAGACGCATTGATGCACAACACAAGCTTGACCACCCTGGCAATTTGCTGGGATCGTTGTGCTGTAACAAGCCAACGGCTTCAATACCCATGGAAACACCGATTCACACAAACTGCAAGACAAAGGAACCAGTCTCTACGGCGCAATATTCAGGCTTGGCGGCGCGTCTTGAAAGACCACAACTTTGGTCTGGAACGACTGGACATCACCATGAAAGATTGTCACGGTGTCTTTGGCCAGGAATGGAAAGACTCCGAGATAGAATTCTGGTTGCAGTTGAACCGGTTGGGGAGACAAACGGTGCTCCGAGAGCAATCCAAGGCGAACGATTGGATCTCCACGTTGAGCAAGTGCAAGGACGACACGAGTTCTTTGTTTTACTTTCTCTCGGAACAGCCACGGCTGTGCTTTGAGTCAACAACGGTGTCCACAAGAGTCAATAGTAGTCGGAGGCCAAGGACGGAGATGAAACAAAGTAACTTCAGCGGGCCAAAGGGGAAACGGCAGCGTATCAGATAGTGTGAGGCTGAGGCTGTTTTATATACATGTATTTGTGTGCTACATGATTATCGGTATTTGCACGGATGATAAAAGTTATATAGGCTACAAGCTTTGGGAATTGTTTTGGAGCTATCTATCTAAGGACACGTACCGGTACGCAGAGAAAGGCACACAGCAGTGCCCGGTACCGCAGTGCGAGTGACAGTCGCACCCGAGACGTGTACCGGTCGGGTATGGCCAGAAGCTGCGCTTGCCTTCGTGGTAGCTACTGGTAGCTACCGTACGGTACTAGTTCCGTACTTTAGCTAGCTAGCTCGTTCTACCGGTATCACCACGGTACCGGCATTCCATTCTAAAGATGCATGTAGCACAGAAGTTTAAGCATTGAAAACACGCGGAGAAAACTCCATCATATGGGAGGAATATCTAGACTACAAGTACCGTTACTTTGGGTCGCTCAATAACCTATCCAAACGTTCGTTTGTACTACGCTTTGTGGTCGTCTGCTTTGAGCAGTCAGTATGGAACAAACATGCGTTCCCTTCATCGCTGCATGCAAGCTGGCTTGACTCGGATTGTGGGCACACCAAGTCCTGTTGGCAGAAGCCTCAAGAATGCAAAACCATATTTTGCATCCAATCCCACCAATTCTCTTACTGCAGGGTACCTATCAATGATACTGTTCTCTATAGCATTCACGACGTGTCTTGAATCCCAACTGAAATATTTAATAGGATTGAAGCCATCACGGAAAGCTTGCAGGTAGCCTGGATGACATACATTTCATTGAGAATTTACCAGAAGCAAAAAGTTTTGGAAACAAATGACGTGTTGCTTTTTCCCAATAGTGTCATAGTGTACTCACCTTTTCCATAATCTTCACGTTGACTGGGTGACAATGCATTCCAAATGTTGCAAACAGCTTCCTCAGTTGACTTGGGATCTGCCATGGGGGTGGAATGGAAGCCGGGGTTAATGCAAACTACTTGTACTCCATAAGGCATCATTTCTGAACGTAGGTTTTCTGTCATTGAATCCACTGCATGTTTGGAACACACATAAGGTGTTATGCAGTCCCCGCCCAAAAATAGGCCTGAAATGGAGCTCATGGTGACAATTCTGGCACCAGAATATGTCCCTTCAGAAGCTTGTTTCTTGAAAATAGGCATAAACTCCTTGACACACCGGAGTACCCCATAAAAGTTCACGCTCATAGTTGCCTGGAAATCAGGCATTTTGGCCCAGTCCACTGTCCCAGCACGGATGATCCCTGCATTGTTGACGAGAGCGTGGAAGTGACGCTGTTTCTTTGATCCTGCACTCATCCAAGATGCGACAACCTTGTATGCTTCCATGACACTTTTGTCACTTGTGACATCCAGCTGGACAGGAATGGCCAGTGCATTGGCTTGAAAGTGTTGGAATGATGACTTGTGCAGACAACCACAAAAAACGGTAAATCCTCGTGCGGTCAGTGGTTCCACCACTTGTCGCCCAAAGCCACTATCACAGCCTGTCACAAAGACTGCCAATTCTTGAGTGTTATTGGCACGGGGATCCACTTTCCCGCCACCACCAAGGCACCATCCCAAGACTCGATAGATCATTCGGAAAAGAACAGCCACTGCAGCAAGGGGGTATCCAATCAGAAGTATCAGCAGCCAGAACCCAGCATCAGCTACGATGGAGATGGGTTCTACATGCAACACATCATTGAGGAAATTGACCAATCCGATAAACAAGGATGTCATGTTGATGGGTTCAGCTACGCTGGATCAAACAGCAAGGAGCTGGTAGGTGCTGTTGAATACTACAACCGATGCACTCTCTATCGTCGTAGTATCGTCGTCGTGATCTCGATGGATCAAGGAGCAAAGAAACCCCCTCATTTACTGTATGTCTGCGAGGATCCCACCAAGCCCCCCCCCAACCCTGGTTGTTCCCGATCCCGTACAGTAAAGCCCCCTACCCCCCCCCCATTTGGGGTATGGTTTACTGCTGACTGCTGACAACTTGCTACTAGTACCGTGGACATGCTAGCGATGTTGACTTGGATGTTTTGATGGTGACTGTCCATGGAATACATTGACATGTGCACCTTTCTAATGCTGTGGACATCTATCTGACCGTGCTCAAGTGGGCTTGAGCCAATGGCTGTCCCTGGTAAAATGATACTTGCTGTAATAAGGCTACTTGGGACGGGCATTTGGAGGTCATGCAGTGGCCTAGCTAGAGACAGCTATTGAAATTTCAATAGGTGCTCATGGAATGAGTAAACATGTACTTTTGCTGCCCAAGGTGGACATTGGAACCATTCAAATGGTCCAGAGGCAACGGTTGTTCCTGAGACAACTACACATTATTGACATTTGCTCAAAGTTGAAGGACGCTAAGAAACTATTTAAGGCAGGCCGGATCAAAAGCCGGCTAACGTCCGTCCGTCGTCGGTCAAAATGTGAGGAACCTCGAAAATAGTTTTAAATGCTAGCCGGCTTCTCCGTATTTAGAGCTTTCTAACGGTGTTCTAAAAAATAAAAAAGAGAATGAATTTCTTCGGACCTGTGTACACCGATTTCTCTTCTTAAAGCATAAAATAACTCTTAAGGACACCTATGTCGTCTTTTCTCAACCCCCAACTCCAAACAGGCTTCCTCGCAAATGTCTGGCTAACATAACCCTGTCGAGATACCAACTGATGGGCCTCCTTGTAGTCATTTGGGATCTCAGTCGCTGGGGCGCAGTAATTCCAGCTCTCCAGTGATCTTGCCTTTAGAAACCAGCTTCGAAGCTATCGATCAATGCAGGGAGAACTGAAGAACAACAGCAGTCCCCATGGCCCAACACATGCTGGCTCTCCAACAACGCATCCAATCTCCTAATGAATCCTTTGCCCAAGTCACTTCTTATTGGCCATATGTCTTCAGTGCTATTGTTGATAATGGATGTTCCTATTCTTGCACCAATACTTTCAGTGATGTTGACCCAAATTCTATCAGAAAGCTTTCCGAACCAATTATCCTAGGAGGTATCGCTGGAGGTCTGAGCATTGAGTACATCGGCACTACTGATTGGGAGACTTTGGATGAGCAAGCAAATGTTGTGTCATTTCGGGAGCAGGTTCTTATTCATCCTGACCTACCAAACAGACTCCTAAGCCCTCAAGCTTTCTTGTCCCATTAAGGACTTGACCCAAAAAACATGCAAACTCAGCGATCACTTTAGAGTCTACTACGACCATGCTTAATGGCATACGGGAGGAAAGAAAATGCTACAAAAGAAGTTTGACTCCAGTTTTCTACCGCGACTTACTCTGTTCCTAAAGGGAAAGGCACTCTCACTTCTCTACAAGCAATGACTTTAGTTCTACATACCAACAACCGGAGGGACTCGGGGTCATTCACTATCATTTTGACCAAAATGGGGGTGTTTAAGGTTCCGCGCTTTGACTTTGCTAAATAGCTATAGCAATGAAGCCAACCGACAGATCTAAGTAGTCGTGCGCGTTCCTTCGGAGGCTGACTCCCACAGCTATCGGAATGAAGATTTTGCCATTTTCCGAGTAGTTTCGATTTCGATCCTCTTTCTTCCAGTCAACCAAAGATGAGGCAAAAGTCCTCTATTTGACCACCATGACGGAGCCTAGTAGTCCTGCAGACACCACCAACACGACCGCCAAGGTTTACTGTTAGCCCTGTGAAGGAAGATGCACCGCGACTAGCCTTCGCAATAGTTCGCGCTATTGTGAAAGGCGCACACCACAATTGCCAAGGACTCAATCGTGTGACAGTTCGTGTGTTGAGTGTTTCCTCTAATATAGACACCCCCGAAAGAAAGGGTCGCATTTCCAAACTGCGACGGAACCTGGCCAATCGATTTGGAAAGTCGCGTCTGGAGAGAGGCTCAAGGCGAGCTGTCCATTGGGCACATAACTCCATTTACCGGGTCTCCAGTGACCACGAAAGGCGGCATTATGGGGATCAGGATTGGACACCTTTTTCTGTCGGTATCGGCCACTCTCCTATCCGGCAAATGGGTGGGGATCGTGACGGCCACGTTTTTGGCCACTCGATGTCGACCATGGAAAAGCCAGAGCCGCGTAGCCAGTGGCGGTGGAATCGGTTCAGCGGCATGTGGTTATGGCTGAAGCGTGAGGAGAGCTCTGGACAGGTGACGCTCTAAACCTTGTACCAGAGAGTGAAGACGACATGTTTATCGTACCGCGATGAATGTTGTGCACTATTGAGCCGTTCACGTGCAGGCGTGAAAAACGAAAACCAGTCAGGCAACATGATCAACCGTCACATCGTAGCGGACACACGATGTCACCATTCATCAAGAGCTCCCAGACAAGAAAGCAGTGGGTGAGCGACGTCTTCAAATCGAGAAACGGTAGAACAAACAGATTGGGAGCCGCGGGTATGACAACCTTTTAGCTGATCGAATGGAGTCAAAGAGTCAAGAGGGAGAATTGTTGCATCAAACACTGCCGGAAGGAGGAACAAAATAGCCAATAATTCTGTGAGAACCTCAATATTTTTTGTGATGTACTGCATCGGCCTGCACATCTTTGCCACTCACCAAGTTACAAAAATATGAAATGCTTCTGATTCTATCATGGCAAGGAAGCATACGAACGATGGTGTCTCTAACATGGGGTTGTGGTTCTATCATATCACACTGACAATGGCATCTAAAAAAGACAAGCAGTGTATAATGTCCCCAACATCTTAGGGACCACTATCAATCAATTAAATATTTTGCGACCGGTGCCAAATGGCAGAATGGGGTTTCTGAGGGAGCCATTAGAATTGTAGTAACCAAAGCTATAACAATGATGATCCATGCTGCACTTCAATGGCAGGAAGTTGATGATGAATACCTGTGTGGCCATTGGAAGTCTCTCATGCAGCTCACCTTTAAAACCACACTCCGAATTCATTTACTGGCATTGCTCCCATTGAGGTATTTCCCAGAACTGTCAGTGATGGTCAAGTCAACAGAAATGCCCATCCTGGGGGATGCCCTGCATATGTTTTGGAACCCCGGCTTACTAGTGAAGGAGGAAAGATTTCAAAATGGCAGCCCAGGTTCAGGAGAGGACAATATGTTGGCACGTCACCTGTCCATTCAGAATATATTGGTTTGATCCGCAACCTTACTACCGGATACCTTTCCTCTCAGTACCATTTTGTCTATGATGATTGGTTTGAGACAGTTAACTCTTCAGAAGATCAACCACCTCTAGAGTGGACCAACATGTGAATCTTCCAACGCTTCGAGAACCTATTTGATGAGGACACTCCACCTCCATTATCAGACGAGTGGCTTACTCTAGAGGAAAAGGCCATCAACCAGCACCACTCTCATCTTCAGAAGCTTCGACATGGGAGAAAAATATGGCAAGTGAAACCGACAAGAGCAAGAATCAACAAATGGGATGATGTTCATTTTCAAGCTCCGTCTCCAGCCAAGCCCCCGGTTTAGCACAGGGAGATTCCAGATCGTCTGCTACCACCTCAGACTCAAAATTTACCCTGTTCTTGGGACAGGGAGCCTCACCCCATCAGCACTCCCACCACTACTGTCCACATCGAGCCAATAATCTCTGCCCCTCGTCGAAATCCCAGTAGAACAGCCCACCACAAGAAGCCTGAGACTCTGAACATGGACGCAAAGTTGAAGACATATGCGCGTCTTTCATCCCTGTTGAGTTGTGCTTTAGCTTTACCCTTTGGAGTTACTCCAATTTCTGGGCACATGATGAAATCTCAGGTGAATGGTTATTCACCTTTGACCAACACCAAGGCATTCTTCAAAGCCCAATGGCTCTCAAGGCCAAAATTTGCAAAGACCCTGATCTCCCCTCTCTGAAGGAATCTTCTGAATGGGAAACGCATCATGCAGACCAATGTTTCTGGCAGCAATGGACAAAGAAATTGCCAGCCTTGAAGGCAAAGGGGCTTGGCACATCGTACAGCTTTCTTCTATGCCCTCACACCTAAGGGCGGTTCCTGGAACATGGGTGAAAAGAATTAAGAGGTACCCAGACGGACAATTAAATAAGTTCAAATCTAGATGGTGCTGCATAGGAGACCTTCAGTCCTATGAAGGCGTCGCGTACTCTACACTTGTTGGTTGGCCCACCGTTAGAGCCGGTCCTCTTCTTGCAGCCTGCACATGGATGGGATGCGAGACAAGTTGATTTTAACTCTTGCTTTCTGTCAAAAGCCCTCAGCCTGTCGACCAGTCACTGTACATGGAATTGCTTTAGTACTATCGACCCAATGTTTATGAAGGTCATGACTGTGTTTTGAAACTGACAAGTCCATCTATGGGCAGACCGATTCACCCAAATTATTTTATGAGCATCTATGTCGCGGGATGATCGAACTTGGTTTCGAAACCTCAGCAGCAGACCATTGTTTATTTATTCATAATGGGCATCAACTCATGGTATTTAAATTATTGTGATGACAAAATCTGGCTCAGTCCAGACATTGATCTGATTGAGTCCTATGTTGGGCAGGTCCAGAAACTTGGATATGCTCTCACCATGGAAGAAAAAAGGTGACATCTTTGTGGATTCCTCGGCATTATTTTTGAAAGACA